GTAATTGCGACATTTATCAATGCAAGCGAAATCCGCGCTCGGTCAGGGAGCAGAATCCACAGAGAGGGCTCGAAGACGCTCCGAAGTGGCCAAACAACCGAAAGTAAACCTCGCCGAGGAATCGAGACGAGATTTTGGGGATTTCGAGATTACCTTCGTTTTCGTCCGAGGAGTGAGCTGAATACGATCGAGAGAAAAGCCGACGTCCGACTCGAATCGGAGAGGAATATTTCGTTCATATCTTATCGTCGAGACGTAAATAAGCTATTCCGCGGTTCCGAGAAGGATTTGAAGCTAGCTCGAGCCGTGATTTTCGTTCGAACGCTCGATCTGCTCCCGCGACAACTTCCTGTGTCTTTGACTTCTCTCGAGTTCCGTCGGAGCTTCGTAGGCTCCGGAGGAATCGGAGGTAGTCGACTCCGTGACTTGACACGAATTGCGACGGTCAACTACTTTGCTTGACCGATTGGTAGGACAAGCGGTCGCCTCGCCGGCCGGCTCCAGGTCTTGTTGGTCGGTTGGCGGTTGCGGTAGCGCTTTTCCTCTGATGAAGTCGGATGAGATCCCGTCTGCAAGGAGGTCGAAAGAGGAGATATCGAGGACTAGGAGTCAGAAAAAGAGAACTGGAACGCTTCACCCTCCAATCTGACGACGAGAAGCCGCGGTGGACCCGCAAGACCAGCAAGACCTTGCCCGCCGGTTCACTAGTCAGTCGAAGTCGTGCTTCAAATCCAAAGTGGCCTGGGGCCAAAAGTGACGACGCAGATGAGAAGCCAACCAGTTTGAAGGCAGGAGGACACTCGACTCCTTAAACTAAGGTCACACTCGGGACCAGCAGCAGGAGCCCCTTTAAAAGAGCCAGCCATGTCTGTTCAAGCCACGGTGGGGTCTTCTTGGCACCAATTCCGCATTCTCTACTTTCTGTCTAGCTGCAGTGCTCTCCATCTGCAGTGTTTGTTTCGTCGGACCCACCCAGGGAGAGGATTCCTGTCGGCTGGGCTGACGTTCGAGTGAAAATTTCGGAATTGTACCTCGGGGTTCAACGCGAGCCAAAGTAGCCCGCTGATTTATAAACTCGCAGAACACGGCCGATGAGGTTCCTTCTAATCGAAAGAGCTAATCGAAGCAGCCGCGTTCAACTTTCCAATTGAACGGACGCTTCCCCTGTTTTCCGCCCCCTCTCACCGCCGACGTATCAAACTTGGAGCTCATCGACACTCGGATCCTACAGCGAGAGAACTTTCTCTGCACTGATCCTGACTGAGGCGGCGTCCGCTGGGGTCCTCGGCTCCCTCGAAGGTCCCCAGCATCTCTGGAATTCCCTCACAAGTCAAAGTTTGGTGGTTGCCTCCACCGCGGATTCCGAGGCTCATGAAGCAAGTAGTGAGAAAGTTACTTTCGAAGGTCTCGCTATCCCGATATCGCAGACTTTTTCCGGTCAGTATCGTCTGGTGAGTCGCGCTCGAAATACTCGCGAGGAGAATTTTCCATTTTCCTTGAGCATCCGAAAGATGCTAAAGCGAACGCTGCTCTCACCGCAGCCGCAGATGGGAGCAAAGACAATCGTCCTGGGCTCTATCCGATGTTCTCTTTGAACAAAGACCGCAAGAAGTCAATTATGAGAGCCGACAGAGGCAGCACAATAGAAAACACAAAGTGAGTCCCTTGCTTGGCGCACATGCATGTAGGAGATAATCACGAGAGCGAATTGTTCTCTCCGATTGTATAATACCTGTTGCCAAAAGTGTTCATCGTGGGCTTCTCTCCTCTGATGTATCTCCCGCTGGCTCATTAACAGCACTCACTCGCTCACTTGATTGTTAGGCTCAGTTTGTTATCTAAGTAGAATCTGGCTGTTGCCAACGGAGCGTGTATTACAGAAGCGCACAAGGAATCAGAATCTTCGCCTCGATGTAGAATGATGTCGTCGAGTTTTTCTTGCCGGAAACGACATGGACTCCGGAGAGGTGTAGAGACCTGCGACTCTGATTGATCACGCTCCGTCGGATGCTCCCCCCCCCTTTCCCGGGCCTTGCTACCTCGAGGGCATATGCAATCAAAGATTATTCATCTATCGCGGGTTACTCGCGACAAAGTGGGAGAGTCGGGTTGTCCTTTCCACCGCCCGTTTTCCCGATCTGGCGCAGGTCCGAGCCTAAATCCAATTTCTCTTGGTTGGGCGGAGGGGTTTGGCGAAGAATTGCCAGGAATTCACTCCGAGAAATGAATAGCTCTTGAAGGCTAGTGTCGCAAGCGACGACTCTGTGACAGAAGAACCGGTGGCTCCGACCGCTGCGAGAAATTCGAGACGGCTATAAGTTGGACGTGTCACCCGCACTGATTCGGGATGATTCATTTGGGCGATCCCCCGAATTCATCTAGTGTTTGCATACTTGATCATTTGAACGACACGGCGGGAAATAGAGAGCGGACATCGATTTGAAACTAAATCTGTTCTTTTGCCGTTCACGAGGTCCCGATCTGCTCACTAAGCTCCAGCATCGATACAATGAAAAAAAAAATCCTCCCCGGAACAAATCTCCAACCAGAGAGATACTGCTCCTGACGGATACCGTGCGACTTAATTTTTCCGGGTTTAGCAGGGCTGACCTGCCGAAAACGTCCCGATGGAAAGCCCAGCCTCGAGTTGAACCCTGTCTGGCGAATGTGGGCCGCGCCACGTCAATCAGAACTCAGGTTACCAGTCATTCGGTCGTTATGCGATCTCCGGCTTGCTCTCGAGAGGGGCGTTTCGATGACGAAACTCGATTGTCCAAGAGACAAGAGTTTGATTCAATGAACGTCAAATAAATTAAAGGAGTCCGCATTGGCCCTCCGGCGTGAGGGTGGCGCCTCCCCACTCCATCCCTTCGGGCTCCATAAGCCTGTTAATCAAAATCCGCTGCCCCTTGATCGTGCCACGCTCATGGCTTTCTTCGGCACTCAGGGACCCGTCGCTTATCGATTGAGTTAGTCCGAGAATCCACGCCACGACACTGTCACAATAATAAGCAATACAAGCGCTTCCTTGTCCTTCGAAGTGCGGCTCACCATATCTCCGGGGGATTCGTCGGTCGGAGCCTCGATGACGACTCCGAGCTGCCCTCACCGACCTGAGTCTGAGATACGGAGCTCAGAACCTACCACGATTGTTTGAAATGCTCGCATTCGAATCTTCCTTGGACTGGATCCCGCTCTATTGAGCGCGTGCGAGGCTCTCGGATTCTGAGTCCTCGTGGACGCATATCTCTTCCTCGAGGGAAAATTGATCGCTACATCCTGGAGCCATGTCCTTCTTGGACCTGTCGCCGTTTCATTCGCGTATGTTCTCAACTCTGTGAGGAGCCTTTCCTGAACGGGAGCAAATACAGACTAGGCTTCGAGCTCCATGGGGCTGATTATCGCCAATTTTTGGAGCTTTCCTCAAATGCAGGGCAGTTTGCGATGAGACCATTGGAGGGCGCGAGGAGGAGGGCCGGGGCCAGCAGCGTCATTGTGCTGCGAGTTACGTGGGAGACGGCTCGCAAAAAGCTGAGTGGCTTTCGTTGTAGGCCAAAACTACTTGCCCTCGGTGCAGGTAGGAATGAAATTTATTGACTTTATGTCACTGAGTGCCGTGCGTATGCTCAAGGCTGAAATGGGGAAGCAGACATTTTATAGGGCGTTCTACTTCAGATCGGCCTTTCACTGGAGGGCGAGAGCGCTGCATCTGAGGCATAAGGACGTTCCAATGACTTCATTTTGGAGGAATTCAGAAGTTCGTTGTCCATTTCATCGGGGACGTCTCAGGCGGTTGAGCCTGGGCGAAGTTTTATTCTTTCCAAGAAACGCGTGCTGGTGGGAATCGATCGAGGAGCGAAGTCTTGACAGATTGTGGAGGCGAGAGATCTCTGGAATAGCATCAGCGACATCGGCTTTCCGGAGAAAAGTAGGAGCGTAATCTTCGCGGGAAAAACTCGATCGAGCGGGAGGAGGGGAAGAATCGCGGGGCAGACGCCTCGCAGATGAAGAGAGACTCCGGACTCAACGAGGCTTGCGGTCGCGGCCGGAAACAGAGGCGAACCCTGCTCCCAACCCCTCCCCCTTGCCCCCTCTCTGTCTTTCGGGAGAGGGGATGGAAAATATGGGAAAGCGATTCCAACTGCCATCGCTGTCGACTTGGCGCACTCGAGTTCCTCCGGGGCGTTCGTGAATCTCGTCATCTCCCCGGTCGTTCCTAGTCATTCGGCGCTAATGCCGACAAGCTGGTCGCTCCCTTTCTCTCTATTTCTCAGCTTTTCTTTTCCGCCTCAAGATCGCTCGGAGCGATTCTTCTCTTCCCTTTTTGCGTTTAGCTTTCTCCCGTCGTGACTATTCCAACAAACGTCAAGAGGCAGGAGCGGTAGGAGGAGGGGGAGGAAATGAGGGAATGGAGATGGGAAAGAAGAAGGAAGGAGGAAAAAACTACTTGTCATCTTTTCTCAGCAATGAGCAATCATTGTCGGTCTCCATGGGGAGCGAATAAAATCGTGGATCCATGTTCTAGCTGTGAATCGCTCCGAGCATGGAAGTGATCACGAAGTGAGAGATAACTGAGCCCAGTCCGCTTCCGAGCTGCGTTAGTGGCTTCAAATCAGCTTCCCTCTCTCTTGGAAGTGTGCGAAATATCTAATCGCGTCCCTTCCCCCACGAACACAAAGTAGCCATCCGAGTGCAGCAGATCCATTTACTCACCGAGTTTCGTTACACTAAGCAGATGGCTCTGAGGCTCGCGCGACGATCACTTTAAACAACGGTGTCGTAATTTTTCCCCACCGAAAGATGGCCATCAGAGAGCAGTTAAAGATATTCCTACGCCCCGTAGAGACGCTGGCGATTGCCAAACGAGCGATTATGCCCCTTCTCCCTCCCATGTGCATCGGGAGGAGGCGGAAACGACGGCCGGCCGGCCAGTCGAGTCAGGAGAATATAGTCGACCCACCCGATCGAGTTTCCAATAATAATTTCGTGTTCCGTTCCAGGAATACGATCCCGATCAGAATTCGCCAAATCTCGTCCACGACCCCGGGTCGTGACTGCGATGTTGGAGAGGATGACCCCCAACTTCTCGTCCATCACGGAGAACGTTCAGATGGCTCGTGAACTAGCGCTCCTAGGCAACTACGAGAGCGCTCTAGTTTACTACGAGGGAGTCATGCAGAGCATCCAAGGAGTCCTCAGGGCCATTCCCGCCGACGGGGACATCAACCGGATCGAGACATGGAAAACGGTGAGTGTGATCAAGATCTGCTTTTCCATTTTCCAATCGCTTCCCTCTGGGTTCCTAGGTTTCCGACGTTTCGTCTCCTCCCGTGGATATCTATTCCTCGCGTCCTCGCTTTCCCTTTCCCTCGATAAGCACCTATTGTGAGATTAGTGATACGTAGACAGGTTTGCACCGACAGCTCATTATCCTGACGTCCGCTTACCGTGGCCCGGTCGTTGAGGCGAATGCTCACTCTGCGCGAGGCTTGTTGTGGCTCCGCTGCAACGACGGCTAGCTGACGCACTCTCACGCGCTCTCGCAGTGCGCGCTGCCGGTCGGCCACGAGGGTGCACTGAATCTAATGCGGGGGATCCGATCAGGTAGTACAGCCGCGGCAGCCGTCTCAGCGGCTGCCAAACCACTGGGGAAGGAAGTGGTCAGGGAATCCATTAAGCCCTTTACGAACGGACCAACTACGACGGCAGGCAGGCAGCCGGGCGAACTAACCAGTCGGGCGGGTCTGCCGGCGAGCGATGTATAGTGGTATACTACTCTGCTCTCTCACACTGGTTGAATAGTTTGTAGGCGTAGTCTTAGGAGGGTTCGAACTCGATATGAGCCGAGGGGAGCTGCCTCGCTGGCTTTCGGCACCGAACGAGCTAATCGTACCGAAGTTCATCTCTCCCCCTCCTTCTGCAATAGCGAAATCTTGAGGTCATCGAGTCTGACGAATCTCGAAATTATTTCTCTTTGGAGACGCCTGGAAACGGGGGAATATCCGGTCCGAAGCTGGCAGTGCCTGATGCGAGAGTGACCCCGTCATCGCGATTATTTCTGACAATTATCCAAAGGCTAGAATTTTAATTCCAGGAGCGCAGTTTCCACGATGCACCGAGAGACCTCGTCGTCTCGGTCGCTCCTCAACTGCGTGTTCATTACGCTTGCGTGCGTAGCGAGGCGGGTGATATGTATGCGAGTCTCCCACCGAGCATTAGTAAGCGTTGCCGATTGCTCACTCACTCGTACTCGAATGAGATTCTCAACTCGACACTACGGAGAATTCGACGATCCCCACGAAGTTTCGTCAAACTTTGCTTTTACGCGGGAATGAGCTGGATCTCACGCGGTGAGGAATGACTTCGGGAAGACTTCCTTCGGTTTCGGGGACCATACTCGAATTATTCGACTCGGGCGGCGAGATATCTGCCGACCTGTACGGAACTTGCCCATCCTCCGTCCGATGCAACATCGGACTGCCCCGATACAATGTTCTTGCTGGAAGAGCTCTCCCTTGTCGATGCCGACCTCGCCTTCTGGATGTCTCGCGGAGAAACTCCCGCATCCTGCCCGATGGAATCGTCCCTGGCAGCGTAGCCTTGGTATGATCCCCGGGAAAATCTCCCACGGCCTGGAATATTGTCGACGATTTGTCGTCTGCTCTCTGTTCTGACGATCTATAACGAGTTTATAATGAGATCTCGAACAAGTGCTTGACCAGTCATTCGAGAGACAGATGGGTCCCATGCAGCGGAATTCTTCGAGTTTTTATCGAATTATCTTGATGCTCATCGTTGTATGCTCCCGAGTGCGGCGACAATGAAGCTTTTCTTTCCATACCACGGGCGTAGTAGAGCTCCCGCATCGATTGAGAGGTTGACCCCGGCGATCAAGACAATAATTGAATCCAGTGATTCTCGACGCAGTCTTTCTTGCGTCTGGAAACATTCTCGTCCGGGGACTCTTCTGGACTGAACAAGAGGGGTAGAAACTCGGACGGGGAGGTTGTTCGAGCCCTCTCGCCACCAACATCGCTCCAAAGGTTGCGGCTCTCCCGAGACTGACTTCTCAGAGTCTTGCATCGATTCTCGCGGAGAATTTTCGCTCGCTGCGTCATCTTCACGGCTTCAAATTAGACAAGTTCAAATAATGCTCTCGGGGGCCCACGTGCCTATCTTTGGAGGATTTACGGTGGGGGTCGACCTGGTCGAGGTCTGAAAGATCCCATCCATCAGGCGTAGGCGAATGGAGCTCCCTCAGTCATTATATGTAAATGGCCGGCCATCAAGTTTTTGTGGTATGCTTCCTGCCTTCTGCATATACGCTTGGGAGCGCGTGCGTCCAGATCACCGGAAGCGTTGTGTACGAGCGCAGCCCCTGGATAAGTGGCCCCAGGTCGTCGTTCTGGCGTCGCGTGTCCACGCAATCGACTCGGCCGTAGCTTCTGTGGACTCCTTAATTGACTAGATGGCGAGAGGAAAAGAAGAAGAGGCCGATTGTTTCAATTAGAGCAATGGCCCTCCTGTTAGCTGTTTATGTTTCCTGGAGAGCGAGGAACAGACGACAGCTGCCTCTCTGCGGGAGCTGGTGGACCACAGCAGCGACGACGCGGAGGGATCCCTTCTCGACGAGGCGCGAGCGACCTTGACATCGCAAGGCAGAGTTTTTCCTTCGTTCATTCACTTCAGAGCTTGCTCATCGGGCTGCCCTGCATCCTAGAGACGATTTTTTTTCTCTGTCGGACGCGTCGCCCGCAGGGAAGCTGCCGGAGGCCTCGCGAGGGTTTCCTGGATGCAAGTCCAGTCTTTCAATTTCTGTTCTTTCCGCGAATAGCATTCATGTAGCGAACGTCATGGTGAATTATCCTCAGGTTTCCTTTTTGCGGCCATCTCCGGAGAGGATTAAGGGTACAAGCCGACCGATTCGAGGTCTCTTCTCGGAAGGCGGGAAACCTGAATTGCTTTCGATTTGGATCTTCGATCAGATGGCTCTGAAGCTCGCCACGTGGAACTGAATCGACCAGTGGCCTCTAAGCCGGTTAAGGCATCGCAGACTAGTGTAGTCGGCGGAACTAGATAAGGTGTCCTCCTAAGCCTGACATTAGAGCAGATTGGCAATGATTCCGGATTCGAGGAGACGTTCACCGCCGAGTACACAGTCGTGTGGAATGTTCCGCAGGATCCCGAGAAACGACCGAGATACCTCCGCTGGTCGGGGAACGTCGATACTTCAGCTTCTATTTTCATCTTATTGAAATAATTCATGCGTCGAGCTGTATAGCTCCTCGTGCTTCACTGTTCTTCTTTCTCCTTCTCATGCGTCTGTCGCCCGTCGATGATGCTCCAGACGTATTTACGCCACAGACGTCGCGTCAAAATACCCCCGAATCGCGATGAGCCCATGATCCATACGCTAGGTGGTGGATGAGGCTGCGACGAAATGCATGCACTCTGCAATCGTTCGATGGAGCACTTGAGAGGGGAAGAATAACCCTGTCGGGCGGGGACTCTCTTTTCTTTCCTCAATCGATTCCTTTCTCCTAGATGCTCGTGACGGTAGCAAATACACATGAGGCATCCAGTCGGAGGAATTCGCTGCCTTGGACGTTTGTTCCGTCGTTGATAGAAGGAGGCAATAAGTGAACAAAGTTGAGATGAATGGAGCTGCACAGGCTATCACTGTACCGAGTGAGATGGGAACGTCGCCGTGTTGGTATCGAGTAGCGATGAGCCTGCCGTTGCGCCAAGGCTTTCGTCTTCACTTCGCTTTCTCCTATCGATATAGAATTTCTCGTTTCCCTGTCGTTGTAGCTGCTGCTTCTGCTGTTGAGTCTGTAGGCAGCAACAAATCGACTCACAGGGAATTCATCGCCTGGGTACATACCAATGGAGAGCTGCGAGGTGAGCGGCCGTTCCCGGCTCACGGTTCGGCTGGATCGCAGAAGTCGACTGGTGGAATTTCTTTTGGCGTTTTTCCCGCATGAAGTAGTTGCACGGTATGTTCTCGCCGCCCCATCAGCACGATTGAGCGAGCGGCGGCCTTCATCGGCTCCTGACGGCTGATTACTTTGTCTCCCGCAGCGGAGCATTGTGGTTGCATCAAAAGCAGAAGTCCCGCACTTTGTTGATTCATGCAACGATCGTCGATTCGCTCGTCCGCTCGCAAAGGGTTGCGGCTGCCTCCGCCGCACCGTGCAGCAGAAGCGGAATAGACGAAATCACTTGAAGCGATTTCCTCCCCCGGGAGAGTTTTTCTTCGAACAAATTCTGACGAGTCTGTTTTTTGTTCTTTCTCTGCCTAATTTAATCGCTGCTCCACCGACCTTGGTAGTTTTCCCTCAGCGCCGGAATCCTCCCGATGTCTTACGGCTCTCGGCCTCCTGAGCGGCATCGGGATCGATGTCGTCGAGAGCGGAAGGGCGCTCGGATCGAATTCATTATCTGCCCCGGCAGCTCAAAGTCGGGATTCAACGGAGTTCATTCCATTAAAGTATCGGCCATTCGTTTTGAGGATTGCCCCGCGCTGCCTCAAGCGGTATTCAAATCGAGGATCATCGGCCGTAAGGCTGGGGGTTAGGTGTGATTGTCGGCTGAACGGAGAGCCGATGGAGAAGGGTTGTAATGAGAAGGTTTTTTAGCTTCGGATCGTCGTTCGCTCCCTCGATCGGTCGCCGCTTGATGGTCCTCGACCCTCCGGGATTGGCTTTTCTCTCGACCTCAACGTTGACGGCGACCTCGTTTCCACTGTCCGAAGAATTTTCCCAATCGTGGACGGAATGAGTGACCGTTCAACAAACTCTCCCAAAACAGAGTGGAACCCTCTCCCCTCAATCCCTGCCTCTTAATTTCTCCTCGGCAACTTGACCTTTTCCCGCTCTTTTCCCTCAAGTGTTCGGACGGAAGCCCAAGACTCACCTGGGAGGTGCTGGCCTCCTCAACTTGGTGATGCGGGAAGCCTAATTCCGCCCACCCTCGTCATCCTTGTTCTCCTCCACCTAAGACCGGGGATGTCAAGTTTTCGAGCACTCGCCGAAAGGCTACCGTGATGATCTCACGTTCGCTAGGAACGTTATCCATGTGTTCGGCCGCTGCCTATTCGTTCGGTCATTGTTCCACGAAGCCGAGATCTCTTGTTTTGTGAGTGCTTGGCTCCATCGAGAAAATACTTCGTGACTCGTGTGCCGCGCTAGGCGACGAAAAAAAGCAGACCACATATTTACCACACAGATATTTTCGCTGTCCGACCTTTTCATGGGAGAATGGGCTTGTTGCTGCTGATAGACGCCCAACGCGACGACTCGGGCTTGTGATATGGAAGAATCGACTGCTGAAGGTGTCACGACGGCACCAGCGGTCGTCTCCGATCTATCCATCCATGATCCGAGTTCCGTACCTCGTCCTTCGGGAGAGTTCAGAGACCTTCAGTCTGGGGCGATGCTCTGACCGCGGAGAGGAATCCCATCGAGAGGCCTGCTCACTCGGGTACCGGATGAGGTACCCGAGTGCTCCTTGGAGAGAATTCCGTGGAGTGTTTTCATGCCTTGGCCCGACCGATCGAGATTCAAGTCGCTCTGGCGCAATCTTACGTCACGGGACTTTTGTCGCAGAGATAGCCGAGACGAACCCGCGCATTTATGCAGTTTAGATGCTGGTGTGGCAGCGGCGCATCTTCGAGCAACAGTGACATTCATGTGCCAGCGAATAACGGAGCTAGGAACATTATTTTCGGCACACGGTGCCGGCGGCTTTGTAACGCGACGCCGATTGTGACATTCTGCTGCACCTGGCAACGACAAGAGCAAATGTCACGACAGTCTGAAAGGCTTCTGTGACTGCCAACGTATGGATTCAGACGCCATGCTCGGCCTGCTCCTCCTGTAGAATCGTTCGACGATCCGTCGTTTCGATCTCAGTCAGACCGCCGCCGCCACCGCGAGGAAGATCTTGCCGGATGGCCAAAAGAGCTCGATTTTCACAACGGAGCGTTCTCGGTGGACTCCGGAAGTCCCCGAGTAGAAAAATTCATCCCAGAGGCGTCCACCCTCGTAGCCGTGGCATAAGCTGCTGGAGTCTGTGCTCGGGACGCCCAAGTACACAACGGTCGTGGTTTCCGGCGGTGGTTGCTCCGGTTGATCTCAACGTCCCGATTCATCAAGACCGACGCGAGCGAAGTCACTGACCAATCTGAACTTAATGAAAGATAATGAAGAGCGTCTTTTTAATTTTGTTACTAATTAGTCAAGCAGCTTTGCGACGCCAGTTCGGGTCCAACTTCAAGCCTGGACTCTACGCAGCTTCCATAGAAACTCGGGACTAAATGGGTCTACTGCGACGCTTGATTCGGGTCGGACGGTGGCGTCGGTTGCGGGAATGGTGGGACCCAGCGGGAAGAAGCAGCGATGGTGGTTGTGGCGTGGTAGAGGCTGCGGTGGGATGGAGAGCATCTCGAGCCGACCGCAGGCTGGAAAGCAAAGCGAGCCTCTGTCACAGAGACCAGGATCTGACATTGCTCGAGCAGGAAGCGAGACCGCAAAGCAAGCGACAAACTGGACGGCTGGCGAGAAGGAACGCCGGGTCTAGGAGTGGACTTGGCAGCGACGGCTCCGACGCGGGTTGCTTTCCGTGTTTGGCCCATTTCATTTGCGTGATACCCCGCCAAAGAACAACGTGGCCGGGAATGCAACTCCCTTTCCGAGTTCCCTGACCACGAGTCGACGATATCTCGACTCTCTGCTTCGTTCCTGTTTTTCTCCGCGAGCTCGATTCCTTGTGGTTCTCTCGCCCGCTACCCTATATTTCTTCTACTTCCCTTCCCTGGGTGAGATCTCTATTCATCCGATGAAGAAAACAGGGTTCCAAGTTCGGTATATAGTTTTCGAGCGCTTGGCTATTCGGGTATTCCATGGGCGTGAATTACTACCCGTACTCAAAAACGGCTAAGCCGCCGAACTCCCACGTTTCAATCGACTTGTTTCTTCCCGCGAAGAAATCCCGACTGGCTTTACAAGTTTCGTTCTCGCCTGATTCTCTTCCACAAATCGGATGAACGCCCGTTGGTGGTGACTTGACAGATTCGCATCGAACTAAACCTGATAATGCTTCCTCCCCTTGATGCGAATGAAATCTTAGGGTGAACCCTTGGTCACGCTGATTTGCTCGATACCATCACGAATGAGCGAAGACAGGTGACATTTATCCTGCGCGAGGATCGACTCCGGACATTGGTTATTGATGTCCAGTCATTCAATGACCCTTTTCAAGGTTGTCGGGATACCTGATGGTCGCCCTCCGCCGACGTCATACCCAGCGACCGTGCACCGACCGGAGCGACTGCCCACCAATAGACAAGCCGAATAACGGAGCTGCCAACAGCTGCGGATGAAAGATTGTTGTGCTGAGGGAAAGATCCAGCGATTTTCTGAGCGAAGGCGATGAAAATCCTCCCGAGCCAATCTGCTACAGAGTTCGTATTCCCCAACCGGAGAACCTGCTCGAGCCCCAGACCATTCCCGAAAATCGGGTCCCTCGGCTGTCCGGATCGGAGATCGATTCTGAGATCAGAAGCGATGAGCGTCAAAATGTCTCATGACGAGTGTCGCTCCTAATTTGAAAGCTTCGAACGATAACAGTGGGGCAAATTCGATCGTTCGAAGGGTTATCGGTTCCAGCCAGTGCCAGGGTCCAAATGTGTCGAAGACGCTCTGAGACGGAGCTCTTGACGACGCGTGGTGAAGGCGGGCCGGACGAGCCTTCGAACGATGTCTGACCGCTGGAGGCCATCTTCCGCGTTCGTCTGTTTTAGTGCTTACAGCATCAGGCTCCGTGGTCGACACATAGGCGATGGGCGACTTCGAGTGACCATATTGCGCGAAGCTCTGCCATTCCGTAACCAGGTCGCTCATCCAACGGAGCAGAGAAATTCCCTTGTAAGCTCTTCGCCCGAACCGGAGAGACCGCCCCGGTGCCGTGCCAGAGGAGAAAACCGGCCGCTTAGTCAAGTTTTCTAGCTCTGGTTCGGCTCTCGGGCTATACGTCGAAGAACGGCAGTCTAATTGGGGTCGCAAATGAGTTCCGCCGGAGAATCCTCGCACGTTTCCTGAGAAGGAAGACAAAGAACTGAACTTCGTCGAGCGCTCAGGATAAGTCGACGGGGACGAGGATATCGAAGCTCTTGTAAACGAGGGATGAGCCAACGGATGATTGTTTTCCCTTCATTCGCACGAAGATCCGTTCGACCAGAGAAGAAGTGGCCACGGAAAAACGTGGTCAGTCGAACATTCGTTCGTTCGAGATAACGCTTGGTCACTCAAATCCGACACGGATGAGTCCGAAAACTTTTTCATGCTCTGCCTCTGCCCCGCGGAACTCGGACGTTGTAGAACCCTGGAATTCGATCGATATGTATTCTCTCAAACTCCTCCTCCTCCGACTCTGGAAGCTGTGCTGGTCCAAGATCTGCCCGAATGGGAGGATACTAATGTTAAACCTCCCACCCGCTAAGAGAGTCGAACGTCAGCCTCCGTAGTGTAACCTGCGGAGATGCTCGAGCGGACATTTCCATTGGCAATTAGAAAGTTCCCTGTCGAAGGGCTTCCGCTCTCCGGCCCGCGACAGTTACTCTCAGCCCGGACGCCATCCACGATTACAATCCGAAGCTCGTAATGAGGACAACTTGATTCCCCGTGTTGTCCGCCGTCACGGAGTCACGCTTACGTTTTCCCCATCCAGGAATGATTCGTGTCAACTGTGTGAACTTCCCATCAATAAGTATTCCAATTCCGCTTTTCAGATTCTCCAACAAATGAGTACGGAGTACGGCCAGCTCAAGGAAGTTGTCTCGACGATTTCAGGCTTCAAGAACGAGCCCGATCTCCGTGTCGCTGTTGCTGGCATGAACAAAATGAATCTCGGGAGCTCGGGAGGCATGCCCGATGCACAGGCCTGGACGCTCGGTCCCATGGGCGAGATGCAGTCGCTATCAATGGGCTCGATGGGGAATCAGAATCCGATGCAATCTCACGATCCAGATGTTTGGCCTCCGCCTCCCGAAGACAGGTCGGTAACGAGCTTTGGCAGTGTACTGCGGAGTGACGACAAGCAGATAAATTCGCTACGACCGATTCATCAAGCTCGTTCGAGTTCCTCGATCTATTGACTCGATTTCCTTCCTCGCCCGTGCTCCATCGACCCTGAGCGATTATTTCCTTCCCACGGCCATAGACGATTTCTTACGTCGAGACACGATCATGGAACGAATCTGCTCTGACTCGGAGTCTCCGGAGCGTCTTGAAAGTCGCGTGTACTCGCATCCGATGACATTGACGGGATTCGACAACGCAACACGGCGAACAAATAATAGCAAACAATACGATCGTCCGTCTGCTCGGCCCTCCGACCACCCGAGTAACCGCTATTGAGTGCGGTCGCCCGAGTGGAGTCGCTTGCACACCCACTGACGCAAGCGGATTCAACAATAGATCGATCCGGCATGACGGAGGCGTGCTCTTCCGGTGATGTGATCTCAAGATCGCAGGCATCTTCTTCTTCTTCGTGGAGCTCGAACGACTCGCGCGCCGCCGAGCACTTCTCCGACGAGCTCTCTCGCTTGAGCTGTTTGCTCGCCCGCTCACTTTGTTTGGTCGCTCCGCTGAAATATGTGTTGCCATTTAGCTTGTTTGGCCAACGGAGGGGCGATGATGAAATGGATGGATGGATGCACATTCCCGAACGGAGCTGGTCCGAGCTGTTGTCTGGGCTCTCGGTTGGCCACCGATCGACCCCACCAGTTGGGTGGTTGGTGTCAGCAGAATCAGTTCGGACAGGTTAGATCTATGGTGTTGTAGCTCGGGGGGCAACGACAGCAATCGGAGCTCCGGTGGTACCGCAATGTCGAGCAGTTCCGACAAAGCCGACTAGACGATCGTTTCGATAATTCACTTTGTACGAAACTTTCGAAGACGTTTTACGGCTTCGGCCGAATAGGATGGCTCCCTGACCCGAATGCTGAAACTGAGACCAAGTCCTGAGGCTGAAATCGGGTTTCTCCGGGAGCGAATCACGAACAGCAGAGTTTTCGCTCCAATCGGACGATGAGCGTTCCCTTCACGCCGCTTAGCATAAGTCCGTTCCAAGCTCCAGCACTCCGAGATGCGTGGGAAAACGCGCGCTCGAATCGTGGCCGTGAGTGATGCGTCTCTTTCTCTCGTCCTACTCGCAATTCGTGCAGAGGTCGAGTTTTTTCGGCGGAATTTCCCAGCTCCCAACTCGTGATTTGAGCTCCTGGATGAATTTTGAATCTCTCAGAAGAAAAATCATTCCGATATGGAAAAGCACTGAATGAGTTGTTGTGTCTCCGGAATGCCAAGCGGAATGGCTTCCGGCTTCGCTAGAATCTTTCTCCAGCCGAAATTCCCCATCATAACCAATTCATGATTTTATCACCCGAGACGATGAGTTCATTATTATCATAACATTCACCGAATGATTGGCATGGATTGTCATTTATCGTTTCCAGTCGGCAGTCGGTTCGGCAGGGAGCGAGGTCCACCAATAGGAGATCGGAGGCTCGCAGCCGACAACAGACGTCGCGTCGCGGATCGGTGACCAAGGACGCATCGATGGGAAGCAGTCGAGGAGGAGGCACCACTATCAGCCGAGGCGCACCGGCAGCCGGGGGAGATCGACAACAAGGAGCCTCCCGTACCCGAGGGGGCACTGCTCAAGATCCTAAAAAGACGAGGGATCCGGATGGCAAGGTGAGAGAACGAACGAGACGGAGGTCTCTAGGACAGAGGGTGAAGAATGTTGTCGCGGAGAAAAACAACGAGGTCCCCCTAATGAATCTTGTTGTCGATTTGGTTCTCTGCCTCCCGTCTATTGATGTCGATATTCTACGACTACGCACGTGCCAAGACTTCCGCTTCCTCCGGACTTGTAGCTTCCTTCAGCAATGCGACCGTGCGAAATATTTGTGCCGCTCGATCGGAACGAGAGTGACGCACGGCGATACCGAGAGATGCACCTGGGAGGGCCGCTGACACTTCAATATTTACTTCTTCGTGGGGATTCCCGCCGGTCGTTCGAGTGCTACCTGAGGGGCTCGATAGACGAAGCTGGTTTCGCTTCCCTACTCGTGCTCCATCTCCAGGCCGCGGATGGGCTCATGTTTATTCTGATTAGCTCTGAGCTTTTGCGGGCAACCTCTTTGACTGAAGCTGACTGGCCTTCGCGGACCGGTAGGCGAACCTCTCTCGATTCAAAGCGGCCGTTGCGCCCTTGCCTCGTTGCTCGAAAGACACCGAGTCTCGAGGGCTCGTGGAAAAAAACGCACGGACACCAGCCGCCAGGAGCCCTTGCAGGCTGAGCAACTGAGGGACCTTTCTGATCCGGTACATCATCATTCGGTCACCGGGCCTCCTCGGGATCCCCGGGAAGACGGGGACGTTTTTTCCATATTGTGTCAGGTCGACGTTGTCTCTTGAAATTCTCTTCGTTCCGACGATATATACATATAAGGGACCGATTCTTCTCCTCGTTTCAGTCCGGGGCGAGCAAAGACGCGGGCCAGCAGCAGCAACAAGAGGAAGAGAAACGCTTCGAATGCGGCAACATGGATCAAGAGTTAGTCGAGATGCTGGAAAGGGACATCCTCCAAAAGAATCCGTCGGTCAGGTGGAGCGACATCGCCGATCTCGAGGAAGCCAAGAGGTGAGGATCAATCCCGGATTTGTTTTTAGCTCTGTTGAGTCGATCTCATCAATCCATTGACTCATTCACCCAGTCGAGAACTCGCTTATCTATGAGGAGCCATCGCGAGCTTCGATTGGATATCGGCTCTTGCTCGGATTGGATTGTGAGTCGGTTTCCGGAGTAAATGGTCTTCAACACTGCTCGGATTACATCCGTGGAGACCATAAAACCCCGAGTGTCCGATGCGGTTGCAGCGCGGGTGTGTTCCGGAAGATAGCTCTCCAGCCGTAGAATGCGGTAAATCCGATCGTTAGAAGAATAAAAGAGCAGGTGTACGCCACAATCGGCACTTTCTACAGTCGATCGGCTTCTGGGCAGCGTTGGGGAGTAGGAGGAGGAGTTATTACGTCGAGGAGCTTCTGACAACATTCTATTGGGAGAGGCGCGATAAAAGCTCATGATGCACCAAGATCCCCCATTACCGCTGTATCCGGCCGTGTTCCACCCCATGATTCGAATCTCTTCTGGTCGGAGCTAGTTCTGCTGGCTGTGCACGAGCGGATATAACTCACAAATAAGGTCGGCACTGGGTTGACGGAATCGAACGCCGTCGGTGCGCCCATGACGCTTCTTAAATTACGTTTCTGAAGTTCCGCTTCTTGATGTTCAGCTTCGATTATCCGTTGTTGCCGGATCTTTCTTGATCTCTCTGCGTCTTCGGTTCTTACAGAAGGGAAGACGGCCCATGAGGTTCCCAGGAGGGGTCGGCATCGATTTCTTCCCATTGGAATTCATTGCTCCTCATTCATCGCTTTCAACAATGGCCAATCGGTCTCTTGTTGATCACATCAGAATCGCGCATCATACCCCTCCCGCCCCATCATGATTCATGATACAGGGACTGAGTTCTGAGGATTCGAAACATGATATGGAGCGCTCTCTGAAGCGGCAAACGAGGCAGCCTCTGGAAGCCGCAGACTCGATTGCCGCAGGATGAGGCCGCCCTTTCGGTCGGAGGGCTATCCGGATGCCCCTGAACGCAGCATAATAATAATGGACGCGTTTAAGCACCGCTCAAATAGGCATATGTTCTTCCTCGTGATGGCCGTGCTCTGCAGAGCTCGAACGAACGGGCTCAATACCGCCCGTACGGGACGAATGCGGCTGCCCTGGTGAACCTACGCAGGCCGTTCATTGAATGAACTTGGGAGCTCAAGATCTTACTCTCAAACTCTGACTCAGCGACACCGTTTGCTATTTTGATGCGAAACTTCGCTTCACTCCCATCGGTCGGACAGTGGTCCTCGCTCGAGCTTCTCATAGAAGTATACTCGCTCTCCGAATGATTGAATCTATTCCTTCTGGCGACGCCAAGTGCCGGCGAATTCCAAATCAAAGTTAGAATCAGAAGGAAGGAAGTGATGATTTTTTTCAATCGGAGAGACATGGAATTTTTCCGATCGGAGAGTGATGGATTTTTTTTCAATCGGAGAGTGATCAATTTTGAGATGTATTACTCCGCTTGCAGGCTCCTGGAGGAGGCCGTGGTGCTCCCTTTGCTTGTTCCCCATTACTTCACCGGGATCCGCCGGCCGTGGAAAGGCGTCCTCATGGTTGGGCCTCCTGGAACGGGGAAAACGATGTTAGCCAAAGCCGTGGCTACGGAGTGCAAAACGACGTTCTTCAATGTGTCAAGTTCAACTCTGACTTCCAAATACAGGTATGACGCGAAACATAAAAACGTGGCGTGGGGGCAATGTTGCTCGCCGGATGTATGTACGTGGATACGCGAATGTCATGCCGAGCCGACTATGAGGCTTAGTCAAAACATGCCTCCTCGAAGCCATCGGATCGAACAGAAACCAAGCGTTCCGGAATTCGCGAAACGCCAGTCGTCCCCGGGATCGCTGCTCGGAAAGGGAACACTGGCGCTCCGCCACCATTAATTAAGCCATACGAGCATCTGTTGTAATGTCATCAAGCCGTTTTGTTCATCATTGTCGGAGGAGTCCCCTATTTCTTCGGAAGCGAAGAGACGAATGGAACGAGAGACAAAGCCGAGCGCGGGCTTCTGGAGGGGGACAAAACGCGATTTGTTAACTTAGCTGAGGACGCGAGCGGAAAAATTCCGGGGCTGCGCCGGGTTTGTGGCTTCCATTAAATCTGCCGCTCTGTCCGATTCAAGAACGTTTTCCGCGGCTCAACCCTGGATCAAGCTGCAGCGCTCTGGCTGAATTCTGATCGAGATAACTCGACGAGGATCCGTAACAATAGATTGCGGGACCCGGGCATTGTCTCTCTCCCCTCAGAGGTTCGCCGAGCGAGTACTGCTGGTAAAATCGAATTTTCGGAATGTCGAAATCGGACGTGGCGGACTCGGGCTCGGAGTGCCCGGCAACCAGATTCTGCGGACAGGCCGCGGATGAAATCGATTCGAAATCTCATGGAATTTTCCGGAAGTTCCTCGAAATCCCGCTCGATGAGCTTCGCTCGAGGATTGCGAGTCCCCGTCGAACAGATCCCGTCTCGCTCCCCGCAGCTGCGGTGAAATTCCGGTGGAAGAAGCTCATACGGCAAGGTGGTTCAACAGAAGGCACCTACGTACGTATCCCGCGGATGCAGGAAAGCAGAGCTATTGCATAGCTACAACTCGCCGAAACGCTGACGCACCGAAGAGCGAGGAAGCGGGCTGACCTTCGACCTGGAGTGCTGCAGAGCGGATGGGGGCTCGCTCCTTAGACTAAATGTTCTCCGCGTCAACGCCAGCTGACGTCGATTTCGATAAGATTGACTCAACAGCACCTGCAGCTCAACTTGTTTTCCGATTGAAGGGGGAGCTTCCCTACGATGAATTCCTAGTAGGATGCGGGAGAGCCCTCCAAGATCCCGGCATTTCGGAACTTTCTCGAGCCGCGATCGGAATAGTGTTTCTTCAAGTGGTTTTCTGGACCAGCCCTTCCCATCCCCCTTGTGTTTTCCCCAGCTACCAGGGCTCAAAGAATAACGCTGCTCGAAATCGACCGGAGGCTCGGATAAATTATATCCACTATTGACTACACGACTCGTTGTCAGTCGATCGTTAGAAATCACTCCGCTCCGTTCCGAGCTGAGACTTTTCCGATAGCGAGAAAACAGGGAAAATTGTGTTGAATTCCTCGCTATTGAGCTGCTTCGAACACGAACGATTCCTTCGCTAAATTCCAAGAGACAGAAAGCAACTCCGGTGGACCTCAGATCGCCAACAACTCTTTCACCTCCTGACTTATTCCTGTTTCCAGAGGCGAGAGCGAGAAGCTGGTGCGTCTGCTGTTCGAAATGGCTCGATTCTACGCTCCGTCAACTATATTCATCGACGAGATCGACTCACTCTGTTCTCGGAGGGGCAGTGCCAGCGAACACGAGGCTTCCAGAAGAGTCAAATCAGAGCTTCTTATTCAGATGGACGGAGTCACTAATGGGGAGGATCCCACTAAGGTAAATGGAATCATCGTAAAATTCTCATTCCTTCCTTCCCCTGCTGCGTTCTCGCTGGGTCATTGTCGCCGGCGTCATCTTATCCGGATCTCCTTCTCAACTTCGTCCCTCCGCTCGCACGGCTCACGTTCAGTCTGTCTCTGAGTGTCTCGCTACTCTCGCTAACCGTATCCCCATCCAATCCCCCCTACCGTTCTGAGTTGTTACGTATTTTGGCTATTAGGAAGTTTCCATGGTCTACGTGTTAGTCCTCTCGGATTGGGTTGATTGTCGGATTTAGAGGGTCGTAATACGTTTATAAATCTGATGATGACTGTCTCGGAACTCGAGGCCACTCTAATCTTTGGTAGAGATCCGACGGCGAGGAGGTAGAAGATACCATCGGTGATATTCCCGTTCCTGCGGAGAGTCTGACTGAGTATAAGTTTTCATACGATCGAGGTCAACGATCGAAAGCGTATCCTTCTCCCCTCCAACCCGGCTACGGGTCAAGCGGTTGGAGATGGCGAGACTATTTGTTGAGAGGCAATAAAAAGGGACTCGATGCGATTTAGAAAGGAGTGCGCTGATAGGAATAGGGCGGGAGTCGACGGCGAGGAATACAGGCCACAGTCTCTACTGAGTGAGCAGTCGACCTCGTGGTTGACTTAACTCGTGAACTTCGCTCATTCGGGCCGGCTGGTTGAAAAGTGAGAACGTGCGGCGAGGATGCTGACAAGGGTTGGGAAGAGCTCCTCCCACCTCGTGTGCTCCACTAAACTCATCAAGGCCTTTTCGAATTTGCAGGTGGTCATGGTCCTGGCAGCCACGAATTTTCCCTGGGACATCGATGAGGCGCTCCGGCGTCGTCTCGAGAAGAGGATATACATCCCGCTGCCGAGCGAGTACGGTAGAGAGGTCTTGTTGGAGATCAACCTCAGAGGTCGGTAACTTGTCACCCTGTATTCCTTATCGTGCTGATTCGCATTTTTCAGAAGGAAACTGAGCTCGTCTCGCTAGCCCAGAAAGATCACAATCAGATCGGTCCCACATTCACCGCGTATCTTTCGAATCGTCGCTGGGACCTACTCAGAGGCCAGCGATCGATCGGAGGACATGAGGAATCGATGTTAGAAAGTCGGGGTCACGTTTTTCGAGGTCGAAATCGGACGCGAACCCCCCCTGACGTGAATGGTCGCTGGAATGATTCCTCTACTCATTTCCGTGAATTACTTTTTGTGAACACTCGTGAATTATCGTACCCGAATTCGGCGTGGACCCGTAACCAAAGTCAATGCACGTCCTTCACCATGCAACGTATTCTCGCGGAATCCTGATGCGCGTTGTAGTGCAGAGACTGTAGAGGAATATTTATTGCTCTTGATGTCAATCGCGTCTACGGCCGGCGTAGAACAACGTTCGAATTCCGAGCGAGATGGAGTCGACAACCTCCTCTTCTACCATGCCGCGTATCAACTGAGGCTTTTGTGCCTCTATTAGAGCCGAGTATACCATGGATACCCACTAGGATGTCAGCTCGCCACCCGGCCAGAACTTCCAAGCAGCGGGAGCCGATTTTAGGCTGGGGCGGCGTAATCTAGCCTCCATGGCTGTAAAACGAGCGCGGCTTGCAAAGCATGTATGATTTGCAAGCCAGCCCTTGTCCGACATGCTTCTCATCGTGTCCCAGCCCTGGACGAAGCGGCCGCCGGGCCGCCCGGCCAGCCGCGAGGCCGATACAAAAGAGATATAGGCCGAAAGACAAACCGCGAGCTTTTGTCGCCCGTGTTTTATATGGAACGTGCGTGGAGAACGAATTCTGTCGAGAGCGGCTGACGGCTCTAGAGAAGGACAAAGAAACATAGGGAACGGGAAAGAAGATAAAGATATTCTCCATTGGCGACTCATGAAATTCTCGCCTGTCCCCATGCCAGCCAACATACACTGTCGACGACATATTGGCCTCGACTGGGCCTGGACCGTGGTCAGAGCTCAGCGAAGGAAAGGAGGAGGAAGAAAGGGAAAAAACGTCGTCGCTCGCATACTCTGTAATATTGCCCATTTCTGGCCTAGCCCTTCGTTCGGCTCTCTGGTTGACTGAGAGTAGGTCCTTTCGTCCGCAGCGGCAACGAGGACGGCGCCGCTTGTCTTCATACTCTGATCGGGATACGAGGCTGAATTCAAAGGAAGGATCAGAGAAGTCGTTCAGCGCAACGACCCAAGAAATCGTCGATTTACACGCTAGTTACCATCCGAAAAAGTTCCATTGTGCGCTTTCTTTCTGCCGGAAATTCCGGGTTGGCGGCATGAGCGCTGGGAATAGCTCGAGAGGGGGAGGTTTTTCAGTTCTATCAATTTGCGGCGGAGTAGTAGCGCTCGGACGCTGCTCCCTCGAGGTGCTCTGGCAGTGGGGAAAGACCGAAAAACAAGGACAGGACAACAGACAAGAGGGAAGTCTAATCAATGTGAAGAATCTGCTTCGAATCGACGAACTGAGCTCAGCTGATTCGGCTTGTTTGTGGTCAGAACAAATCAACTGACTGGTGAGGCAAGCGGAGCCGACGGAGGGAGAGACGGAAAAAGGTGGGAGAATCTCGGACAACGAAGACGAATGGTATCACAAGGCAGTTTCCTCGAGGAGAAACGCCTCGCTCTGCCGAGGTCTCCGACAGAGGAATATCTACAATGAAGAAGATTTGACGTTGGGATTCCATGGTGGCAAAGGCGGCGGAAAATGTTCGGCGAGCCATTTTCCATCCTCGCCTGTGGGCCGGGTCGTCGGACGGGCCACCCCCATACGGAGAGTACGTGGAAGCTTCGCCCGGTTGAAGGTTGCCCGTCGGTTGATGAAAAACGGACGTATTTTTATCGAAGTTCCCCGCTCGCACTCCTTCCGTCCGACTACTTGGCCGGCGCAGCCTTTGCCTTTCGCGTTAGCGGCAGCGGTTCAAGCTCGTAAGCTCTCGTAGTTTCCTTCTCCCGTTTCCAAAAATTGGAGTGGTGTCAGTAAGTGACCGGCTACATTGAAGGAAAAATGGCAGCCCGCGCGACTTGAATCTCCGAAGGAGCGTTCCTAGAATTGATTGGACGCTTCTCGAGCCGACAAGGAGTTTTGAAGCGGCAGAAAATTATGCTCGCAGAAGGTGTTCTGCTCGCTCTTAATGAGCGTTGCAGATACTTGAACCGCCGGGTCGGATGAAGGTCTCGTTTTGTTGTTCAGCTACCGATTGTCGTATCATCCTCGTATCGGTCGGTTCTTTAAAACTCGGAACGGTCACTTGCAGGTGTTGAGCAGGCTCCGGACCTCGACCTCAAATGGGCAGCCAAAAATCTCGAGGGATACTCGGGAGCGGATATCACCAACGTATGCAGAGACGCGTCGATGATGTCGATGCGTCGCAAAATTTCCGGTCTTACGCCCGACCAGATCAGGTGAGAACATTTGAGAGGGCGATTATTCCCGATATGCCCGCAGTCCAAGGAGAACTCCTGGAGGATTCAGGAGCTCCGAGCAGAGTTCCTTGAGCTCCCGACGCTGGGGAAAATCGGCCATCGAAGCGGAGAAATGTGAACTCAGTGGCCCTAATGCCATTGTGACGACACCGCCACGGTCTGTTTACAGCTGTGGCTTGAACGGAGAAGGGAGAAAGAGGAGTTAGAACGATGCCTGCGGGCTATAGCTCTACTTCAGAAAGCTCGCTCCAGACGAATGGTGGCCTGAACGACTTCGTCCTGAATGGGACCTGCTGAAAGTGAACGTCTTATCGGAATGCTCTCCAAGATTATCTGTCATGCTGATTGGTGGTCTATTCTCTTTTTCTTTCTCGCGCAGGGCATTGTCAAAAGAGGAACTTGAGCTCCCCGTTAGCCACAGCGATTTCGCGGAGGCCATGAGCAAGGTGAATAAGTCCGTGTCGAGGGAGGATCTAGAGAAGTACGAGAAATGGATGAGCGAGTTCGGATCGATGTAGACGCATCCAGGCCCAGCCACGCTTCAGCTTGCAGCTTGTCGAATCATTCAACTGATCTTGTGGAAGAGGTCGGGGCTGAACAAAATCGGTCACCGTGGTTTCGGTGAAACCGAGCCGCCGCAGGTAGAGAACGAGAGGTTCGGCCGGATTGAGAACAACTCGACGCACGGACGGTTCGACGCATCAGGCAACGCTACGCAGAACTCAAAGTCTCACAAAACGACAGGTCGACAGCTAGACAGAATAAACAATGCCCACCAGTGTCATACTAGTGTCATACGTCATTAGGGATTCTTTGCGAGTTTTCTCGAGGGGAACGCATCGAGTCGACGGCTTACTTCATGAAGGAAATTTCCATAGCCATTCCGGAACGTGTAAAAATAATGAAATCACATTAAAACGAAAGGACAGATTAACGAACTTGTTCGCCAATAAAAATGCCGAATGCTGAATATCAGGTAACCGGACAACATTTTTCTTCTCTCTTTCTTCTCCGCGACGAATTGGCTTCTGCCCCAAAGACAAAAAAAAAATGAGCTCCTGACGAATAGAGAGCGAAGTCGGGGAAAGGAATCTGAAGCTCCTGACTCAATCTTGCATATATGTATAAGACAAGCCTGGACAGGTATACATAACAAGGAACTGGGTGCAAGTCTCGACCGCGGTACAACGAGGGAACAGTCAGTCGCTGGACGTCGAGGTGTTCGTGGTCGACCCGAGGAACGACAGACGGGCGGTCAGGAGGACGAACGGACTCAACGACGGACGTACGGACCGACGATGCGATGTACGTCGCGCTGACCAAGCACTACCAGGTCGTTTAGGGAAAGGTCCCTAATGTGATAGGGTTCTCTTCCTTTATCGCTCTAAGAGTCTCTCGGAGCCGGCCAGTTGTGATCGCGAAGTAAAACTGGAAACAGCCGGACTGTCACTTGACTCTCTTCCTTCCGATACTCCCTCCACTCCGCGTTCAAATTTCCTCCTTTCTCTCGCCCAGTCAGTCTGACGAGCGCGTTTCCCCTTGCGTGCCCGGCGCTCCCCACCGAGGCTCTGGTCGCTTCCCGTGGTACTTCGGAGTTCTCAAAGGAGTACCGATTAGTTCCTTCCTCGCGTTCCCGTTCCCGGAACCCTCATGATGTGGGTCGAGACCTCGGGATCCTCTCTCTTTTGTTCCCCGTGAGGAATACTGGACTGTTGATTCGACAAAATCGTAAAATGAGTCCGCGGCTTGAGATCCGACCCTCACCGCTATCGTCGCCTCTTTGGGAAGAACGAGGAGCTGTTTGAGCTTGAAAACGTTTCCCTGTGGCGTGCTGACGTCCGACCACCGATGAGGTCATGGACCGCTGAATCTTTTCTCTCGCGTTGACCCCCTCGGATTCGTAGGTAAGAGCCGTGAGAGGCCTCATCGATATTCCGCTCTCAATTTCTTCATGGCATCGTACGAAGACAACCATCCGCAATTTCGTGCGTCTCTCATGGTGGTAACGCGTCGGTGAGAGGGAGGATCACCGTGGTGCTTTAATGATAGGAATGAAGGCGACATGGAAGGAATCGCCATATCATGTCTACACATTGAAGGAGCCTCCGGCGATATCCCGCTCGATGTTCGAGCCCCGCAAACCTAACACCATCCATTCCACCTAAGATTTCCCTTTTTCGCGCAGGCGTCAGTATCAGGTTCGGTAATTGTGCAACCTGATCCTGTCCCGAGAAGAACTGTCTGCCGTAGGACGAGTGAAAATGTCTGATGGTGTACTCGTGTGGAGGCTCTTCTCCTGTCACAAACGGGTGACTTCCATCCGCGCGAAGGAACGAGGTGCGAGCTCCGCTTGAGTTTTCGCGGCTCATACCTCGCCAACGCCGCGCCATCGTTGCCGCTGGCCGCGAACTCCAGGAGCTCCTATCGCGGCTTATAGGGAAACCACAGCTTTCGCTGTTCCGTCAGAGACAAGGCCATTGATATGATAATTATTTTCCCATCATCAAAATCGGTCGTCGCGATTGTTGGCGTCGTTCAGCGGATTGAGTCGAAGCTCCGGGATCGGGGCCTAAACTCAGCCTGAGGAACCAAGGGCAGCGCCAAACGCGTTCACGGCGGACGCACGAGTGCAGGAAACGTTGTTCGCTTCGCAGTCCCGTCTTCGCTCTCGTTGCCGCTGCAGCCGTTGTTGTCGACATCGTCGTCTTCGTTGCTTTCGAGAAGAACAAAGCCAATGAGGGCCTTCTGCTGAGGGAAGGGTCGACGGGAAAGGGAGGTCGAGGAACGTCCGACTCACTCGCTGAATCCACCAGCGGCTGCACCGCCAACGCCACTACTACGACTACCATCGCTGGTACAGCCACTGCTGCTGCTCGCTCGACCAGGAGAGAGCTACCGAGCAACGTGCAGCACGCAACCGGCGAAAGTCGCGCTATGTAATTTTTTTCCCGTTGTGCTTGACAAAACCCGAGAAAACGATATTGTGTGCTTCTGGTGGTGCGTTGTCGACAGGAAATGTAGGAAAGCGGAAACGTGTTGTCGATGTGATCAGTTTGCCTCAACATGCTTCGGTTGTACTGTTGATTCGGGAGAGTGGAAAAAATTTGTCATCTGTGAGGACGTCGACAAACTTCGGAACATAAGAATGGAAGAACTGCAGTTCGTCTTTGTGCGTCCGGTGCGCGTTCGGCACTCGCCGACGAAGACTTCGGCCTCGTGTGAGCACGTGGAATAAAGTTCGGCCGATGAGATTTTCAGCTCTGGAGATTAGGATCTTGATGAAGATTATCGAACCGATATCGATGATTGTGCCGATCGAGATGATGCTCTTATTCCCTCTTCTGTCCAAGTGGTTATTTTGATGACAGACGCGTCCTCCGCGACGGAATGTGGTGGATACTTTCGATTCTGTTGGCAGGATTGCAGATCCTTGCCAACGCGGGAGATCTTCCCGTCATGAAAATAGGTGAGTTCAGAAAAGTAATTTGAGTTTCCAGGAGGGAAATTCCCGGAGGATTCTCCGGAGGGGGGAGTTTCCCGCGGACGAAGCTCCCGTCTGAAAGAGCTCTTTCTCATTGGTAATTCGGGGAGACACCTTCTCCAAGGAATGGGAGATTTTCATCGATTCGACTTTTCGGATAGGTGATTCCGGGGAATCCAAGCCCCGGTTCCAGCCCTCAACATCTGATCCCCCGGGATAAACTGTGGGAATAATCGTGGGAAAGGTCGTAGCAGAGGCGGGGAAACGTGCCAACTCTTACTGACGGAGTCGGAGCGCCTAACCGCATTAGTGCGAGTAGGAGAGAAATATCTCCGTAACTGAATGAACAGATGGCGAGAAAAGCTGTCCGTCGGATGCCGACCGGATGGCGGTCGAATCTCTTGGGGTCGATCGAAGTGTTCAAGGTGGTAACATTATGGTAGCGACCAAGAGGCGAAGAAAGGGACGAGGTGGTAGAAGGAGCTTTAAGCCAAGCGGAGTCAGAAGATGCCGAAACTAAGCAGCCAAAGGCAAAACTAAGGAAGAGTCGACCGACGACCATTGGTGGATAGCCTATTATTAGATCTTCTCCTTTTGTGTTCTTCCGGTGAGTGAACCTCTTATCACTGGAGACGACCAGAAGGGTCCGAGTACGCTCAGGCGTCGTCGAATGAGACGAATCTATGTACGTATCATCATTGTCCACTTTACGCCAACGACGAAGGGTACCGTACGACGATGAATACGAAACCCCAAACTTCTGCTACCAATCAGGCGGAATCTGTTCGGCTGACAAAGCTCCGATTCCTCATCCAACCTGTCTGGCTTCATCCGCATTTTACCACACAAGACATGACAGCTCCCGTGATGGATGCCTCCACTCTTCTAGCGGAGGATGTTTCAACTAAGCGAATGATAGCATTTCATGCTGTCACGGTCGGGTGTTCTCCCTATCGACGAGGTCTACGGCTACGGCGGCCACGAGAGGAATTAGAGGAATAACGGACGCATCGCCGGTCGTGTCGCGTCCGGCTTAGATGGTAGTCGACGTCGTCGATCGCACGCTGCGGTGAGGCACGCACGTAAATCACGCGGGAAGTCGGTTTGTCTCTTTGTCTTCGCGACGAAACGAGCGCTTCGGGAAATGTTCCTCTTATTTCTTCCCGACGAGTTCCGCCCAGATACGAGCTTCCGCGCGCATTCATCACGGAATCTGCGGGAGCACGCGTCATAGTGTGATTGAGTGCGAGCGTCGCCGTGTGTGTGAGCGTGTGTCTGTATGTCTGTCTGTCGATGGGAGTTTGAGCCGGAGCTTTCACCAGGTAAGCCAGGTGATGCGGTGTTTGCCCAAGTGGAAAAGCTGAGCCGACATCTCGACGAAACTCGAACTTCGAACCACTGAGCTGTCACAAAGATTTCTTTTGTGCTCCGCGCGCTCAGGTGCTGCGTTATGAGGACGAAATGAAGCGGCACAACGAGAGGGATGACACGAGACGGCGAACGCTCGAGGAGGGAATGATCAAGATAAGTGTCATCGCTCCTCGAATGAAAAAGGACCTCAATTCATTCTCTTGTCGAATACAATCCGGGCGACGATTTGATTCGTTCGATCAATTGACGCTTCGATCCTCCAAATCTTGGCTCGGTCCCTATGTATGTACTGCGTACGATTGCGTCAGCTGTATAGGAGCTGTCAGCGAAATTCGCTGTCCGGCCGGTCCTCTGCTCCCGCGGCTTGCTTATCTTTGTTTCGCAGCGAAACCAGACAGAGCGGTCTTGGGTTGATCGTACGGTCGTTCGTTCGTTCCTTCGTTCGCAGTGAACAAAATTCCATCTGACAGAGTTGCTCCGTGAAGTCATCCCGATCCAGATCTCCCGGTGGAGTTGCTCGCTCAGAATCAGCTGAAGGGTCCTGTGGCGGTGGTCTGCCCAGCGACCGGTCGGCCAACCGAGCAGGGACCACTCGATGTCGGCGGCAATTGGTGCGTATCGGTGGCCCGTCGCAAGGTTGCTGCCTTTTTCCCCGCTCTTGCCCGGCCCTCTCTGCGTGCTCCACCGTACCTCCGGCCCACGTGACGGTTCGGCGGCCAGCTTGCGGGCCTGTTAGTCTGCTTGCCTACAAGTGGCGTCTTGCGATTGCGGCGATGCGATTGAGATGTCTCATCTTGACGCTGGATGAGTCGCTTCACTTGCAGCCGAGGAGTACTCGGCAAGGATGCCAGGCAACGCCTTCTTGACTCTTCCGGAGGACTCCTCAGAGGAACTTCCCCGAGAGGGACTCGAGCGGGTTGTGGTGTTTCTGAACGCAGTTCCTGGGAGGGCTGTCGGTAGGGAATTTCCGATGGGGGTACCGCGGGGGGTCCTCGACGCGGGTCAGGTACCGGAGGGGTTGCGGAATGGTTCCCGAAGGGATTTCCGAAGTGGGTCGCCGAAGGGAAATCCTCCTTGGAGAGCTCTCCGGGTCACTGACGTCTATCTCTATATATGTCCTTCGAACAAGCCTCGAGCGAATTATCAGAGATGCGTTGCTCCGTCCTTCATCCCGGGCGGCGTCTCCTTCGGCATTCTCTCGTCGTCGTCGTGACGTCTTCGACGCAATCGTTACCCTCTTCGCGCTGTTCTGACAAGCGCAACTTCTTAATCTCAGAAAAGACGGTGTCCTCTCGCTGCCCTCCCTCCGCCCCGACTCAGTCAGTCACCGATTCCATTTAGCTGAGTACGTCGGAGCTGAGATCTGGCAGAGACACAAAACGGAGTTCGTAACCCCTCGTCTTGGAGTTCTTTGCGTGATTGTGCATGATGCACTCTTTGGCCGAACGACGGTCCGAGCTTTCACTTTTCGAATTCCAGCTGCTGAGAACGGGCATTACCATTCGGAGCCTGGACCGATAAAAGTAATGAACGACGGCCGCGAGGCGGACGTCGAAGATGACGGGGGCTCTCATTCGAAGACTGTGTTTGTCCAATCGAGTCGTCGCTGCTGTGTTCCGACCGCCGGCTGTCCGCGTCCAAGTTCTTCATTTAACAACGATTCCCACAGGATAGGGCCAACAACGAAACGTTCGTTAGTTGAACAACGACCGCGACCGCAGAAGACGTCGGACGATGGGCTCGAAGCGCCTCCGTAGGTTTGAGCAAGAGTTCTTCGAGGACGACGACGGCGACGAAAGCGAACTGATAGAGCCGAGAATCGACTGCGAACTACTCTACGCTACGGTTTGGAAAACACTCTCTTTGTTTGTTTGTGGGTTCGTTTGTTTGTTTAAGTGTGTACGGCCATTTCAATGCAACACAGGAGGAAAGCGATTCAAGGCCCAAAGGTCCCCCCCGCTGTCTTGATAGCTTTCGTTCAGCGGCCGGACATCCGAAGACTCGGTACGTAGTCGGACACGGTCATTGATGCGCGGCAGAACTCAATGTATGAATGGCAGGTTTTCGTTCTGAGGAGCTACGATCATTCTGACGGAAGGGGCTCTGAGCACTCGGAAGATTCGATCATCGGTCTGGAAGGAAATGTCTATTTCTCGCTCAGCGTTCACCGTCGGACACCCTAATACATCGTACTGATGAAAGTGTTCAGGACTTTTTTCCAGCTTTCATGTCAAAGACGTTGTATTGGGTAAACGACGAAAGGGAGGCCGGTTGTCGTCGAGAACCCTTTCTTCTCAGCCTTTTGTTTTCTTGGGCTCGCGGAGACGCCCGCTTGTCCATCGCTCCTCAGCTTCTCGCTGTCGGGGAATAACAGAGACAGACTCCCCTTCAGCTTCACTGACGATCCTCGGCTAGAGAATCCGAATTACACTCGTGACCTTGATGAACGAGCTGGGAGACGGTGTGAACGACGGCGAGTTTCCGTGATTGAATCGCCAGGATTAACGTCTATGATATGGCACCGAATGGTATTCGACACGTCAGCGACTCTCTAGGGATTCCAAGGTAGTTTTCGATTCTCTCGTTGTCCTGCAATGTTTCACTGTCGCAGGGAGTTTAAGCTCTAAGCTTGTAATCTTGTCGACCTTTTTCTGGAGAGCGTTCTGGAAGACGATTGAACACCGGTCCAAGGGTGCAGGAGTTTACCCAGGTTCGCGATTCGGTTCGAGACAGCATGGATGCCTTCCGGAACCCAGGTCCTTCTTTCTTCGAAATCCGTGTTCTTGAAAATATATTATTATTGTTATAAATTGAATGCCTGGATTTCCAGAGGTGCGGAGCATACAAGCTTGGAACGTCATGGATCGTCCGGCGGCAAGAGTCTGCCTACGAAGATTCCCCGAACGGATCCGCTCACCTATGATGGGAGCCTTCACCCGCAAAGCAGGACTTGAAACAAGCCCACATGAGCGCGGGACAGAGACGTCGGACTCCTTTTTTGTAAGGAGCGTCAATCATGATGAAATGGGTTGAGGCATCAGTCGAGTCCTTTCCTTGTTTCTTCCTTTCCTAAATCCACCTGATTTGAAAACGGCGGCCGATTATTGTTTCTCGGCGGAGTGTACGCCGGCGCTCCGCGCATACGACGCATCGGCGGAACCGAAAGCCTACTCCTACACATGCTCATGCATACCATGCAATCGAGGGAGCTGTGTAGGTATGAAATGTTTTGATGAAGTCAGTTCCGAGAGTAGAGGCGATACGCCTCTCATGCTGAACTCGAGTTCCTCTGATTCCTGGATATCGATTCGTTTAAGGTAAACGAAGCCGAGAGAATACTCCGAGTACGTCTCGTACAATCGGTTTCGGTTTCTGCTTGGGCTGCGCTTGACCTCTGTCCAGGGAGGTTCGATTCTTTTCTCTTCACCAATCATTCAATAAATCCGTGAGTCCTGTGGGGAATGCCGTTATTACTCGGCCTAGACATCGAAGGACAGCAGAAAATGAATCAAAGCCTCTTCTGGGAGCGGGACATTGATCTACCATAATAGTCGGTGTATGATCAAAGCTGGCCATTTCCCCCCGACCAGAGGCCGGCGGATCGATAGAGAGCG